TATTCGGGAGCCCATCAGACAATTGTCTGCCGAACTGTGGTAAAAGCAGTAAAAAACTTGGGTGACTCACAGTACTTAAAGGAACAGAAGTACTTGTGGCACCTTAGAGACTAACAAATTTATTTGAGCATAAGCTTTTGTGGGCTACAGCCCACTTCATCAGATGCTGTAGCCCACGAAAGCTTATGCTCAAATAAATTTGTTAGTCTGTAAGGTGCCACAAGTACTCCTGTTCTTTTTGCGGATACACACTAACTCGGCTGCTACTTTGAAAACTACTTAAAGGGACATGCATTACACAAAGGCATACCTACAATTAAAATAGCTGGCAAATTAAAGGGATGTAAAGATTCTGTAGTTAATGTTTCCAAATGCGTGGTTATACCTGCCTGTGTACCTTTTTGTTGTTGAATTACCAGTTTTGTATTCTCAGGTCACAGTAAATGAACCTTTGGTGTTTCTACCTTCCGCTTTCTACCTAATGGCACTTTTTTGCTGCTATAATTCTACCTTCTTGCTGCTATTCCCTCGAGAAGGATCCTATTCCCTCAGTGTCATAAATCATCGTGTCATCCCTTTGATCCACGGTGATAGCGTCCGTGTCAGCACGAGTTAGTAAGATTGTCTTGTGCTAGGATTGATCTTGCCACTGTGAATTTACATTCTCCTCAGTATTATTACGTCAAAAAATTGTGAAGTTCTGTGGCAGGTCCACGATTTTAAGGTTTTATCTCCTCCAAAAGGATTCCATTTTATTGGATCCACGACAACAAGAACAGCAGCAGCACCAGTAAGAAAAATTGTCCAGTGCTGGGGTTGATTTTGCTGCTGGGGAATTCTAGTTAATCACTCTTAGAAAGCTTGAAAACTGGGAAGTCCCGTAACAGGCTCACCATTGTAAGGTTTTATATTCCCCGTGATATCTGATGGTTAGCTAAATGAGTTTATGGTCTGACCCAGCGATCATTACCGCCTGGATTTTTTCTGGCCTTTGTTTTTTGCTTATTGTTGGAGGTTTTTGTTAAACCTATTTTTGTCCCTGCAACCGGGCATATTTTCATAGGCGACTTGATAATCCGGTTCTTCCATTGGTAGAACTGACATCAGAAGTGCAACCTCCTGTCATTGAGAGGACGGCGGTGTAAATGCCGGTAGATCATTGCTTGGTAACGTTATAGCGTAATACGTATAAACGATTAAGAGCAGGAGAATATCATCCCATATTGACTTATATCACAGGATATTACTGGGAACTTCCCACTCCCGGGCCTGAAAGGGATCAAATTCAGCAGTACATAAATTCCCCTAATCCAGTACCCCTAGTGCATATTAGGCAATTGTTTGCTTACCAAGTTGGGGGTTTATATTCCACCCAAGGCTCCAATTCTATCGTAAAGATACAGAAATTTTTATTCATTAAAAATGGCTAAGGCTCAGGAAGGAAAGGTATTTTTGGTCCAGGCAGGTCTGCCAGGGAATGCCTGTTGTAGCGGTGCGGACTCACCCCTGCGGCGCCTCCTGCTGGTTGTCTCGGGAATTAGCTCACCAGTCATCAGAGCGCCCTCTTCACACCTTACTGCTGGCCCCTGTATCCCTCCCAGGACCCTGGTGCCCTGCTGTCTGGGGTGTTGCCCCCTGGCAATAACCCCTCACAGCTCTGGGTCTCCCCCTCCCAGGGGAACCCCCACCCACTAACCCCACCTCGCCTCAGTGTAAGGCTACTGCCAGTCACCATCTAGCCCCACTTCGCCTCAGTCTTGGCTACTGCCCAGTCTCCATCTAGCCCGTTCACTGGGGCAGACTGCAGTATCAGCCACTCATCAGAGGCTAAGGGGTTCGGACCTGCTGCCTCTGCCTACCCATGGGCTGCCCCCTGCAACCCAGTACCTAATAGGCCTTACCAGGCCTGAAGCTTGGGGCTTTCCTAGGCCGGAGCTCCCCGGCTTCCTTGGCCTTTCCCCAGCCCTGCTCCACTCCAGGTACCTAGTAAGATCCCTAGCAGCCAGGCCCTTCTCTCTCTGAATGCAGAGAGAGACTGTTGAGCTCCTGGATCCCAGCCTTTTTATACAGGCCAGCTGTGACCTGATTGGGGCGTGGCCCAACTGCGGCTGCTTCCCCATTCAGCCCAGCTTTTAGAGCTGCAGTCCTCTCCAGGGCTGCTTTTACCCCTGCAGCCCTCTTTCAGGGCTGATCTCAAGCCCTTCAGGGCAGGAGCGGGTGTCCACCCTGCTACATCCATATATGGGTAGGACTGATATGAATATGACAAGTACCCCAGTTGGGCATTTAGTGGAAAATATCGCTTTCCATTATAATGAAAATTATGGAACTATACAAGTGAATATCAAGATTGATTACAATTTTGAAGACACAATCAATGGCCTCCTTCAATTATAATAATTGGGTTAGTTATTTGGATGATATTTTGATCTTTGATTCCATCCAAGAGAATTGCAGCATAATCTTAAATGCCTTACTGCAGCACCTCCCAAACCAAGGTTGGGAAATCAAACAAGAGAAAGTAAAAGAACCTGCCCTTAGGCAAACATTTTTGGGATGGATATGGGGTGCCATAGACATCACCTTAAATTCAGATGTAATAGAAGCAGTAGACAAAATCATCTCTATCCGCTCCTTGAAGGACTTCCAAAGGGCTGCTAAATTAGCAGTCCAAACTAGTCTTTGGTCTTCCTCCTAAAATACCTTTTTCAAACAAGCCTACCTTCTAAATAATAATAACAAAAAATCCTAATTAATCATTTATACAAACAATTTAGCAAAAATAAAAAGCCCACTTCTTTAAAAAACCCTCTCTTACCTATCTAAATGCCTCTAAAAAAATGGATGTATATGTAAATACTGGTCATGAGCATTGGTGGTGGAATTCAAACAAGAAAATCACTCTTCTTTTACCAGTGGCACTTTTCATCCTTATCAGTATGCCCAATCCTCCACGGATAAAACATTAACTATTCTTAATCAGATTTATCCCATCCTTCAGAGGTTTTCAAGAAATCTGTTAAGTTAGTCTGTGTTTTCATATGATCTATTTTCGGTAGGTTTGGAGTTTCGATGGATGCATCAGGACATGCCTGAAGCAGTTATAAAAATGGCATTGACCCTAAAAACCCAGTTTCGTCTGCTGCCTATAAAATGGATTCAAAATAATCACCAATTCCTACAAAAACAATGGTGTATTCCAGAATATAACACAAAAAAAGCGCGGCTGTGAATCGATGGCACACCACAACATGCAGGTGTAATTGGATATAATTGCCTAAAATGCGCCTCCACGAGAACTCAGACTTCAGACTAATCCTTCGGCTCAGTTAGCCGAAGTCGACGCCTTGGCCTTCGCCTTAACTTGCCCAACTGAATCATGGAGGGGAAAATTGGTACATTGGTGTGGACAGTTCCTACCTTTATAAGGGATGTTTAGGAGCCCAAAGCTCTGACCTCGCCAATCCTGAAACGGCCCATAACACACATTGGGATGCTATAGTAAAATTCTTAAAAAATCATTGGGAGCTTGGAAAAATTTCTGCTGTCATAAAAATTGCTAGTCATAAATCCTGGACTCCTCCCGCTCATGCTGTTGTTGACGAGACCCTCCAACTCTGGCATATAGCAAAAAAGCCAGAACCATCTCGTGCAGCCATTCACTATGCAAGGGCTGTTCATGAAAATCAGGACCAACGAAATAAATCTGTTCTTGAATTTATTTTATGTGATTTGGGGTTTTCAGAAATTCGCAAAACTGTTGCAGCTGTAACTGATAACTGTAAGTTTTGCCTCAGCCATCAAAAATATCGTAAGGTCTAAATGCTAGGCGCTTACCAAAAAAAAAAAGTAGGCAGGTAAATTACCATTGGCAAATGGATCTAACGGGGCCACTTGCAGGATCAAAATAAAACCCCATGGGTTTGGTTGTTGTAGATTTGGGTTCCTCATGAACCGCTGTGTTTCCTTTAAGCTCCAATAAGATATCCAATATCATTAAATGTTGTGAAGAGTTTGGGGTACTCCCGGCATCATTTCTACTGACGGTGGTCCTCCTTGGAACAGCCGAGATTGGGAATGTTGGTGTTCGGGCCAGTTAATAGCTCCCATTTTACACCTGCTTTACCACACACAAAGCAATAGGGTGGTGGGGAAAAAAATCCAGGATCTTAAGCCTAAATTAAAAAATGAGCAGGGTGATTGGAAAGGGTGGGAGAATAAATTATCTGCTGTTCTCCAAGAAATAAATTCTAAAAAATAGCAATATACTTATCAGTGGAAGCCGCTCATTGAGGTTGATCCTTAGAAGCCTTTGTACCAGAAGGATCAGTTGGTCTGGCTTCTATTACCTCAAACGTGTGAACCCTTGGAGGGAAAAATAACAAAAATATTGTCCCATCCATTTACATACCTAATTTCTACCACTAATAGTAATATTTATGCTAATCAAGATTGGATAAGCCCTTGGGCCACTGAGACAGTACAGTAAGGCCACCTTGTGTTTTTTGTTACAGGAATGTGGCTCTTCTTTATTTGCGTGTCTGCAGTATTGAAATCAGCAGCGGCTGATTTGTGAGTAAGAAATGGTACCTTTTTCACCCCCAGGAACTCATCCTTTCCTGGATGCACATTCAACGGGACTGTTCGCAATACCAGCAATCCTTGGTGCCCTGTAAAGGCTGTCAACTTAACACTTATTAAAAAATCTTAGCTGGAAAATCGCTCCATCATTACCTATGTTTATTTTCTTCAGCCTCCTTTTAAATGTATACTCCCTATCAATAATACGCTCTAGTTCTTTAGTTGTGCATATTATAACTCTTTATGTTTCACGTATGGTGAAGGACAAGTGTATGCTTGCCAAATGGAAATAAAATGGGATGTAGGTGCTTCGGAAAAACTTCTGGGAAGCAAACCGATAAAAGTGTATTATCCCATTTGACCACAAAGCAGTAATTAAACATTTAAGCAAGTTCTCCCTTATAATACATCAATAACAATTTACACCGTACGCAATAAAAACTTTAATCAAAACCAATGCAATCTTCAAGCAGTAGTCCAACAGCAAAACAAAATAAATCGCCAGCAATGGGAGAAAGACGTCCTTCAAAACCAGGCGCTCCAGGATAGCCTTCATGGACAAACTCTTCTTTTCCAAAGTATTAAACTGGTCTTGTCTATTGTTGTTAATAAGTCAAATCCTTGAAAAAATGCTTCTACTTAGGAAAAAGCTTATAGGAAAGGGCCTTTATTTGGAGCCATTTATGGCCCCATGAGTGTTAGAAGACACTGTACCACTCAGGTGAGGTGTATGATGCGCGAGGGATGGCTCCACCTTAAGAAATCCTTAATCAATAACACATATTCTGAGAAAGCACGGATAGAAAATAGGTGTGTAGGTATCCCCCCAAAATTCACTGAAACATCATTCTTATTATTATCCACCATCTGCTCCATATGCAGTCAGTCGGTCGTATTTCGGCCAGCTGAAAGTATAGCTTGCATCAATCGGTCTTACTGTTATCATTTCCAGTTAGGCACTGTTATCAATTCTACATAAATTCACGGTGCACTTGACTCTGTTAAGCTTCAGGTACACCTGCCAATACCCCTTTGAATATCCAAATTAGAGAAAATTGTCCAAAAATTCTCTGATATTCACCTAGCAATAACTCGGCTAGGCAATGTTATTTCCGTACTTCTTAATGTCTCACAGAAACGGTTCCAGGAGTTAACCCGGTGATTCCCCACTCTCCTCAGTCTGCGGATGCAGTAATAATCCCCTGGTTAAAAGAAATAGGTAAATGTATCTGCTCAATCAAGCAAAATATTAAACAATACTAAAAAAACAACCCACCAAATAATTAAAATTCCTAAAAAATATTACATATGATAAAAAAAAAATCCACACATTCTTCTGGGATTAATAGTCTATTTTACTATACTTATTACTAAAGTCTTAATATTTGCCTACATTCGCTATTTGCCCTGTTATTGCAGGATATACTCAAATAAATGTTGTTGCTAAACCAGAAATTTAGGCCTGGGGGGACGTTAATAATTTGAACAACTGTATTGTCAAGCCTGAACTGAACAAAAGTATTGTCAGTGTTAGGCCTAAACTTCCGGAAGTTTCAAAAAGCAAGCTTTGCAAAATTAGGCTGAAACTTGTGGTCAAGAGACGCTGCAACCAGATAACGCTTTATGCTGACTCCTATGTGGTGAAATAAATTAGGCCTTCAGACATGGCTTATAAAACCACATTACCCACAGTCAAGACAATGGGCTATATGGAGATAAGTTATCTCCTTGTGCATAACTTATCAAACTAAAACAACAATTGGATATCAAAGTAACCACAACCACCACAGTAAACAATTGGCCTACCCAAATTAATTGGTCTGTTTTGAAACGCCGACAAATAAGATAAAAAGTATGAAAGCACAGAACTGTGTGTGTGTTTTGGTAAACCCAACCCACATCCCCTGAACCAAAGGGACGTGCACTTCTCGACCGTCTGTATCTGGCCACTGCAGAAAACGGCCGGCTGAAGGGTAACATATTTTCAGACAAATGCAGGATAAGGTTTTGGAGTAAAGAAGTCTGGTTGTTCAAGCTAATTTAATCTCAGGTTGTGTTAACACTATGGTATTAAAAATGGTAGTATCAAAATAATTTAATCTCAAATTGTATCAATATTGCAGTATTAAAAGTAGTAGATTAATATTAAGTTGTTTAAAAATAGTAATAAGTTGTTAATCAATATACAATATCTTTACTTGTACTTACTAAAAACAAAAACAGTACATGTAAAGTTAATTAGTAATAATAACTTTGCATGTGCTTGTGCCTGCCATCAGTATAAACTGCCATTTATATTCAATACTAATGCATAATATTATATTCCCTTAAAACAATAAGTAACTAATGCATAATATTACCTGTTCTTGTGCTTGTCTTCAGTATAACTTGCCATTTATATTAATCCTTATTCAATGCTGGTCTTCCGTGCTTCCTTCCTCCTTTATCTCCACAATGATCTCCATCTCCGCTTTTGTAATTTCTCCCAAATGCATAAAAATGGGTATATCCAAAATCCAGGCAGTTATGTTGGTTAAACTAATAAGCAATATAAGAAAACTCTCTTTAAAAAAAATCACTCTCATGGGTAACCTGGGGACAGCTGACTTCTGCTACTCTGCTACAGCATTTGTGAAATCAAGATGCAAACAGGTCTCAGAGCTCTGGGAGGAGGTAAACAGGGCATCAGAGTATTTGGAGCCCAGGCCTGTTTCTATAATTCGGGGAATGTTTGCACTAGCCTCTAGCTAGCACGTAGAGACATCTCTCCCCATAGAAATGCCGACCGCTGCGGCTCACCTCTGCCCTGTGTACAGTGCACGGGTGCATGCCGTACTATACCGGCGTGCTGCGGGTTGCCTGGGGTAATTACCATGCTGCAGCTCCCTCGGCCAGGCGCTCAGGGATCGTTCAAGCCAGCCGCAGAAGAGCCTGGGAGGACAGGGGGAAACACCTCCCCCGGGCCCGGGAAGCGACGGCCACTGCAGAGCTCCAGGGGCAGAACCTTCGGATAAAGCAGGGCGACCCACCCTCGCATGGCTGTTCTTGCAGTCCAGGAGCAGCACCAGGACCAGGGTGGCCCACGGGTTCAACACTCCTCCGCTCCTCGGGCCTTGCGCTCCCGCGCGCCCCCAGCGCCAGCGCGTAGCCTCGCAACCGGAGACCAGCCTGGCTGCTTCCCATGCGCTCCTGGCCCTGAGGCGCGGCCCCGCCGAACGTTCTGTCCGCTCAGTGCCTCTCTCCCACCTGGACCGTGCCACAGTGACGCTGCTGCCGCGCGCTTCACACCCGTTTAACACAAGGAAGAAAGCGCGCGACGGGCTCGAATGCTCCACGGAGCGCGCGCTCCCTGTGTGACGACCGTTGCGATAGTGACCTAACGAAGCCCTAACCGCCGCCGCAACTCTACCCGGGTCTTCCTGTGTTCCCCCGGAGCTTGTGCGCTGGCAGTCGGCCGCGGCCTGGACCCGCCCCGATGGCGGCGGAGGGGGAGGCGGACTTGGAGTGGGTGGTAGACAGCATCGCCGGCTTCCTGCGCGGGCCCGCCTGGTCCATCCCCATCCTGGAGTTCCTGGAGCAGAAATGCGCGGGTGAGAGGCCGGGGGCGGGGACCCTGCCGGGGCTGGAGCGACAGAGCCTCTCCTCTTCCCCCCCACCCCGCAAAAAGCGCTGTGGCAGGGGCTCCCTGGGGAGAAGGGCGTTGCTAGGCCCGTTGAGAGACATTCGGGCCCCAGCTCATCCTGCGCGCTGCCCCCTTTCTCTTTATTGACAGAGAAGCTAGAGCGGTCTCGGGGCCCTGAGATGAGGGTACCGTTGTGCCCCTCCCCTGGCTCCTTCTCACCCCAGAGAGCGAGGGCAGGTGCATCTACCGCCTCCTGCTCCAGGCCTGGACTCTCCTTCTGTATTCAGCGCCGTACAACCTTTCTCGGCCCGCAGCAGCGCCAGCTCCCCCGAGCGCTGTCACCATGGCTACTCGGGGCGTGGCCTCTCTGCCGAGGCTGGCTAGAAGGCCGCCGGCCAGTAGCCGCTGGGGACGTGAAGGCTAGTGCCCTGGGATCTGGCCTGCAAATGTCGTTCCCTGGGGGCAACACCTGCTTGCTTGTCAGGCATCTTCCTTCTCCCAGGGGCTTCTCAGAAAGCACTAAACTGGTTCTTAGATCTGCTTCCAGATGGAAACACTTCACTGAAGTGTGCTCTGCTAGTCTTACTTCCTAGTGACTCAGTGCTGTGCTTCCAATAGAGGATAGTATCAAATAAAGATGGAAATTTTAAGTGTTCCATGGAAACATATTTGGCAAAGTTCTTCATTGTAAACTTAGAACTGTCTTGACATTTATGAAAGGTCAATGGAGTTGCTTTAATAATTGATAATTAGCAGGACTTTTAATTATTGCATGTTAGAGTCAAGAGTTCATGAAAGTAGTTTGGCAGGAGTTAAGATTTTCAGGACTGCTACAGACACTAAAAAAAGTTTTTACTACTCTTTGCAGGTTTTACATTACTAACAAATCCATTAAAACATTTTATATCTATTGTTTTGCTCTTGGAAAATTTAATTTCCAGTAATTGACAGATAATTTACTGATTCAGTAGAAGGAATGAACTGGTCATTTACTGTCATTTACCATCTAGTAAATAACTTCTAGAAATGCTAATTATTATTATTCAAATTTTTCTTTAAAGTTTATATAAATATGTGATTGTGTGGTATAAAGATTTTAGTGGAATGGTATTGCTTTGAGGGTGAACACTTCTCACAAAGCAGTCACTTCTCTGACCTGTCAGTCCTCATCCTTAAAGAAAATCTGCACAACAGTTTCAGAAGATGAGCCTGGGAGCTTAAATTCATTCCTTTGCTAGACACTAAGGCTATGTCTACACTAGAGACCTTACAACGGCACAGCTGTACCGATGCAGTTGCACCAATGTTAGATCTCTCGTGTAGCTGCTCTATGCCAAAGGGAGAGAGCTGTCCTGTCAACATAATTAAACCACCCCCAATGAGAGGCGGTAGCTGTGCATACTACTACTTATGCCAGCGAAATTTACATTGCTCGGGGTGTGTTTTTTTTTTTCCTCACACCACTGAGTGACATAAGTTTTGCCGACATAAGTGGTAGTGTAGACATGGCTTAAAAATCAAGAACTGAACAGAGATACTGGATTTGTGGCTTATTACAACAATCTGTAACCCGCTAACCCCCTCTCTTGTTGTCCTATGACTTCAGAGATGTTAATGGGCCACTCTGCCTTGAATGTATGTGCTAACTACGTATGCTGAACAATCTGTTCCACCTTGCATGTTGTTGTGATGCAGGGAGTACCTTTCCCATACTGAAGAAGAGCTCTGTGTGGCGTGAAAGCTTGTAACTCCCCCATGAATTTCTCCATCACTCCCCCAGTGGTCAACTAGTTACATGAAGTGTTGCCAATTTAGTTGTTGGTTGGAAATTTGAATTGAAATTGAAACATTAATACACACTTTAAAAGCATATACAGTGTATGATAAAATATTTGTACCTGAAAAAGCATAATAGGTTTGAAAATATGAACAAAGACTAGATTCCTCACACAGCTGTTGTTTTTTATGACAATGTCAGTGCATGCTTTTTGGCAATGTTGGCCAACCTAATAATTTCAAATTGTGATTTGTAAGTAAGGTCTGAATGAGCTCTCCCCTGATAACTAGTGATGAGCCAAGGGGTGGAGAGGAAAGGCTTCAGGACTGGACTGTACTTAAGAATGGCCATACTGGTGTGACAGGTTTGGTCACAGAGATCCCCTTGGGACTGTCACCTGATGTGCTGAGATTACCTCTGAGCCCGTTTTCCCTGCCAGCTTGGGACTACAGAATCCTGCCTTGTTGAGCCAGACATGCTAGCCTGCTGCAACACAGACCCAGGTCTGGTCCACGCCCCCAAAGCGGCAGACTTTAACCAAAAACTGCTCAGCAGGTCACCTATCTCCAGCACCCAGACCCCCAGTTCCCAATGGAATCCAAACCCCAAATAAATCCATTTTACTCTGTATAAAGCTTATACACGGTAAACTCATAAATTGTCCACCCTCTATAACACTGATAGAGAGATATGCACAGTTGTTCCCTCCCGCCCAGGTATCACTTTCTCTGTGTTTACTAATAAACAAAAGTGATTTTATTAAGTATAAAAAGTAGGATTTAAGTGGTTTCAAGTAATAACAGACAGAACAAAGTTAGTTACCAAACAAAAACATGCAAGTCTAAGCCTAATACATTAAGAAACTGATTACAGGTAAAATGTCACCCTCAGATGTTCCAATAAGCTTCTTTCACAGACTACACTCCTTCCTAGTCTGGGCCCAATCCTTTCCCCTGGTACAGTCTTTGTTAGTTCTAGCAGACATCTTAGGTGGAAAACAGGGGTGTTCGCATGACTGGCAGCCCCTTTGTTCTGTTGCTCCCCCTTTAAAAGCTTTGGTACAAGGTGGGACTCTTTTGTCTCTTTGGGTCCCTACCCCGCCTAAATGGTAAAGTACCAGATTTAAGATGGATTCCAGTATTAGGTGACATGGTCACATGTCACTGTAAAACCTCATTTTTCATTACCCACGGATTGGCCCGCATGCAGCCAGGAAGATTTGCAAGTAAATAGACCATTTAAAACCAACTGTCCTAGTCAATGGGAGCCATCAAGCTTCTAGACCACCATTAATGGCCCACACTTTCATAGATTCATAGACTCTAGGACTGGAAGGGACCTCGATAGGTCATCGAGTCCAGTCCCCTGCCCGCATGGCAGGACCAAATACTGTCTAGACCATCCCTGATAGACATTTATCTAACCTACTCTTAAATATCTCCAGAGATGGAGATTCCACAACCTCCCTAGGCAATTTATTCCAGTGTATAACCACTCTGACAGTTAGGAACTTTTTCCTAATGTCCAACCTAAACCTCCCTTGCTGCAGTTTAAGCTCATTACTTCTTGTTCTATCCTTAGAGGCTAAGATGAACAAGTTTTCTCCCTCCTCCTTATGACACCCTTTTAGATACCTGAAGACTGCTATCATGTACCCTCTCAGTCTTCCCTTTTCCAAACTAAACAAACCCAATTCTTTCAGCCTTCCTTCATAGGTCATGTTCTCTAGACCTTTAATCATTCTTGTTGCTCTTCTCTGGACCCTCTCCAGTTTCTACATATCTTTCTTGAAATGCGGTGTCCAGAACTGGACACAATACTCCAGTTGAGGCCTAACCAGCGCAGAGTAGAGCGGAAGAATGACTTCTCGTGTCTTGCTCACAACACACCTGTTAATGCATTCCAGAATCATGTTTGCTTTTTTTTGCAACAGCATCACACTGTTGACTCATATTTAGCTTGTGGTCCACTATAACCCCTTGTGACAATGCGGTTCTGGCGGAACCCAACTGAGAGTGCCAACTCAGGACAAATTGCTCAAACAGGGCAGTTACAGCCCAAGGCTGGGGGTTTTTCCACCTCTAAGGCAAACCAAACCAGCCAGACTAGGATGACTTCGGTCTCACCCCACTGGCTAACCGCAAGTCTCACAAGCAATCTCCTTAGACACTCCAGTTTCCCAGTATTACCACCAGTGCCACTCGTTATGGGGACAAATGGTTATGAAAACCAATACCCCAGTAAACGAAAAAGGTTCTCCTGATCCCAAAGGACCAAGCCCCAGACCCAGGTCAATATACAAATCAGATCTTATCCACAAATCATGCTGTTGCCAATCCTTTAGAATCTAAAATCTAAAGGTTTATTCATAAAAGGAAAAAGATAGAGATGAGAGTTAGAATTGGTTAAATGGAATCAATTACATACAGTAATGGCAAAGTTCTTGGTTCAGGCTTGCAGCAGAGATAGAATAAACTGCAGGTTCAAATCAAGTCTCTGGAATACATCCCTCAGCTGGGATGGGTCATTCAGTCCTTTGTCATAGCTTGAGATTGCCGCAAACTGCCACCCGAGTTAAGAAGCAGGATTGTAGGCAAGATGGAAATCAGG